GTCTCCATCATAGATGTGCTGAAAGGAGCATGTGCATACACATTGCTATAGATATTGGGAAAATAAGTGAGGGAAAACAGTTCATTTAATTGCCACAGCTAACCACCTTCCCCAGTAAAAGACGCTTCTTCAATTATCTTAACAGAGGATGTGCTCTTCTGCATGTGACACCAGAAAAAAGATTCTTGTGAAAAAAATTTCTATGAAGACTTTAATAGCAATTCCTTCCTTTGCTGTCTGCTCCCACCCTGAAATGGCTGTTTGGATCCAGCTCTCACACACACTGTCAGAAGTGTTCAGGCAGCCAAGCAAGTTGTGCTAACTCAGGACTACTTTGGTCCAATCTCTGACCACACCCTACTGGAAGCACATGTGGCCCAGCCAGATAAGAGGCATTTTCGCCACTGAAGAACCAATGGACAAGTCCCGGCTCATCTGTGCCTGCCAAGTCTACAGTGGGAAGTAGACCATAGCAAGATTTCAGTTTTAGTAACACTGTTATTGGTAACAATGACCAAGACATTTTGGAATATCAACATCATTTAATTGTGTGTGTTTGTATACACTTGGCCTTTCTTTTCTTTTTTAAAATCAGTTTGTCCTCTCTAAAATAATATTCACAGTCCTGAAGGAGTGTGGTTTTGCACATTTACTCACCAACTAGATCAGTCTGTTTTCACATAGGAGCAATATGCTTTTGTCCAGAAACCTACAGTGCCTACCACAAAGAGGTGCAGTGTCATGAATCCATTCTGAGGATCTTATTCACATATCCTGAAGAATCCTGGCCCTTATGGGTAGTTTGATAATCTTTGGCTTTCTTGTTTACATTATCTGTTATCTGTTGAGCAACAGCTCTTTGCATAACAGCTTCTCTTCTTTCATGTCAAGACTCCTGAATCTTCTGCCCAAAATGTTTCTGCCTTTGACCTGACACTGAATCTGCTCTAGCCACCGAGGCTATTCAAGGCCAGATCTTCTACTTCACTGGATGGGTAAACTGCCCTTGCAATCTGCAGACTCTTCTCAGTAGAACATTCTTCACTGAAAGATTTGGTTTAGCTGATGTAGGCATGCATATGTTCTTGTATCCAAAAACCACCAAAGGACCTTCTTAAGTTTTCCATAGATTCCTGGGGAATTTCACACAGCTCTCCTGTGTGACTGAACAGCTCAGTATGACTGAAGGTAATTTGGCTGAAGTCCTTCGTATCTTACTTTTACTACCATAATACCCCACTCTGTGTCTTGGCTATGGACCAACTGGAAGGAAAGAAAGTCAAGTTCCCTAAATTTCCCCTGGATAAAAAAGGGAATACAGATGTGGTGACTAACAAACTGACCTCACTTGTTAAAAACATCTTCTTCACCCATGTCTTCTCAGCTAGCCACATGGCTGGCAAGAGACCAAGGTATTTCTCGAAAGGCAGATGTGTAGCTTTCACAGAAGACAGGCTGCTGGAAGGCACTGATAAGCCAGGTCTGAAGCAGTGCCAGGTTTTTCCCTGGAGCAGGCAGAGAAGGTGGCAGTATCATGGCATTACTGCTTATCTGGATTCCTCTATGTGGAGTCCAGAATTACAGCTCCAAAACTGATATAGTCCAGCATCTTTTTGAACCTGTCTGCCACCTTTACAATTATTATGAAAGACTCAAGTTCTATAAACAAATTTTAATTCCAGGCCCAAATTAATTGTCACATCATTATGCCTAAGAGCAGAACACATCGCAGCTGGTACTGGAGAGATTAAAATTGAACTGCTTATCAGCAGGGAAGAGACCGAGTTCATCTAACCTTAGGCACATTAAAGTTGCACATCTAGTATAAGCCATTTGCCTGGGCTCTCCCTCCAGTCAAAGAAGTGACTCCATACAGTGATTCACTGCATCCTAAGAATAGTGCCTAAGGTAGCTGGGGTGAATCACCTTCAGGAATTGCCTGGCTCTCTCTGTGAAGAGATTTTTGCCATACGGCTTTGATGACAAGCCTTTCTTTTAGGTGCTTAAAATTAGTGAGATGAATCCCACCTCAAAATGCTCAAACTCACTGTCTTTCTGAAACAAGGAAGAGCAGCAAATTGCATGAGAATGCAAACAGGTGTTGTTTTTAAGTGGCAGCCTTTAGTCAACAGAGTAATAATCCTGCATGGATTTCCCAGGGAAGGTGGAGAGTGACTGGAGGCCCAGCATGGTGCGGTCTGAGTCCTTGCTCAGAGGCTAGGGTGAGAGGTAAGAAGCTTTTCTTTTCATCTTTGCTCCCTGGTATGTCTCCGGTCCTGACAGCCGCCAATTTCCATTCCTCTCATATTTCCACATCATGCTCTTTAATGTTTCCGTTCAGCCTCACAAAAAACAAGCTGCAAAGAGCTTCTATACCCACCTTTTAGACAGTTAAAGCTTATGCTTCATGACCCTGAGTGCAGTGACAGGCATGAATGCACGTGAAAGCAATCTGAATCACTGCCTTGAGTGCTGGACAGGCAGCTGTGAAGGACCACCCTGCCATACAGTCCAGACACGTGATTCCCTGTGGGAAGGTCACCACCAAACATTGACTCTCAGTGTGTCTGTTTCACCTAACACTCCATGGACAACACTGCTGAAGGACTTCTAGTAGTTACCCCATAAAGAAAAAAATAGGAAAAGGATTAATCCAACAATATTTGTTTTATTCCAAGCACAAGATTTGTGAAAAAAATAAAATTAACCATGTCGAAAATAAACATTTATAGAGGATTTATAGAGGATAAAATGCTCTCAGGTATGAACTCATTATCTTTCTTCTCAGGCTATGGTCTTCTAATGAAAAAGAATATGAGACACACAACATCATCTGAATTAACTATATTTGTGTCCAGTTTTGTATTTTTTTGTTCAAAGAGCTGAGGATGACAGGTTTTAGATCCTTTTGTGTGCTACCTGTTAAATTTTACACGTGTAAGTATTTGCACATTAAAATCAGTGGTCCTAAATGCCTCCTTTTTTACTGTGCAAAGATAATTTTTTCATAGAGGACAGAATGGTACAAGCAACGTCCTTGCAATGCCATTCTGGCAGGACACAAGGCCTGCTACAACCATGGATAAACCCCTGCTTTTTCAAAGAACTATCAGGATGTTTCTGGTTATCTGATTGCTTGATCAGAGGTCAAAAGGCTAGTCCTTTTGCAAAGATTACCCGTTGTTTGAATAGCAGCTGATCAATCAATATCTGTTTATCCAGAAGGTCCTGAAGAATTTCTATTTTTGGTGGTCTATGTATTTCAGGACATAGGCCCTCAAAGGGATTAAAAAAAAGATACACCAGAACTGTGTCCTCAGCAATGCTCTCACAGTTCCTGCTTTCTGTTCTTTCAGAGGAGATGGGAAAGGCCTAGTGCCTCTCACACAGCCCACATCTGTCTAGAATCATGTCTGATCCCACTTTCTTGCAAGGTGTCCTGCAGGGAAAGCAGACCCACTTATTTTTAGCCTTCTTTTCATTCCGGGATACTGGCAAGGCCCTGTTGTTTGCCATTTCCCCAGTCTGCACACTCTAAATGAGGGAATTGGGCCCCTGTGGTAAATGGTAGATGAATCCTGATGGTAATCATCTCAAAAGGGTCTCCATGTGAACAAAAGGGGTTCTTCTCCATGGTGGATAGGAGGGGAAGCTATTACGGTCAGCGAGAGGTGGCCCGGGGCTCCCGCAGTGCTGCTCACTTTGCCCCTGCCATTCTGTGCCCAGCTGCCCCCATCTGCAGCCCAGGGAGTACCAGTGTTGGTACACGAAGAGCCACTCAGAATATGACAATGAGTTTTTTAATTTTCTCTTCCTTCTTAGAAGTCACAGCTCAGACAAAAAGAATTGTGTGAAGTTACTCGCACATGACTTTGCATGAGTCAAGCGACTTGGGGAGGAAAAAACCAAAATCCATGATGAGCACTCATAATCCTTTAAAAATATTACACCCACTTGTAGCTGCACAAAGATAGATTGAAGCAGTCTTTCATGTTTCCTATGATTGTATGACCATCAGAGCTTAGCAAGAAAGTAGAGAGAGGGAAAGTGGGGGAGTGTTACCCTGCAGACAGCAAAAATAGAACAACATTTTTGCAAACTACTTTTTCAGTCTTCCAAGAGTGATTTCTCTGCAATGTATGATACAGGCAAGAAATCTCCTGGTTCATAGACTTCTGCAGATTATGATCCATCAGTCTTAATTTCTCTCCAACAGATGATGGTGGACAATGCATAATTTACCACCCAGTTCACCTTATTTTTAGATGTTGACTCTATAGCTCAGCCATTTGTGTTCCTCAGCATTGGTTCAGGGGACAGGAACAAGAAAAACTCAGCATCTGTATGAAAGAATCAGCTTACTAACAGAAACACTGTGACAGATACATGCATTGGAGATCTAACCCCACTTTCTATGAAGCAGGGTAACAATATGATAATAATCCTTAATCTAAGTTTCTTGTAAGAATCTCTAAGGGCCAGTGACAATGTTGTGATTATTAAACATTATTTCAAGTCCATGCTACCTGAGTACTTCAGTCAAAGGCATTTAGAGATTAGTGTGAGCAAAATGTGAGCAAATTTTGGAATGGAAACTTTGTACAGAATGTGAATAGGAATCTCCTTCTGCTTCCAGAGTGGCTGGCTGACTTATCCGGAGGACCTCTTTTGTGGGACGATATGAATGGACTCAAAGCAAACAGTACACTGTAGAAGGCAGATCACAGATCATGAGTATTGTACTGCTTTTGAAATATTATGAGATGAGCAGATTGACACTGTTTTGGCAGGAGATTATTTTGGAGTTACCCAAACAACCCCATTCAGTTCAAGATATAGGATGGCTGAGAATCTGCTAAAACTATTTTTTCCTAGTTCACTCTAATAATATGAGCATTTGGGTATCATTTTCAAAGAAGGCCACATACAGACAGGAAGATTTACCCAAGGATGCTGGTAAAGAGACATCACAGTCCTTACTAAAGCCTCAACAACTGAAATACAGTTTCAAAACAACCTTTATTCTGCTTGACGACTTATTACAATTTTTAAAGTAACTCAAAAACAAGACACAGCTCCATGAACTCTACAGCTTGAACAAAACTTGAAGGAGGCATGTTTTCACTGTTGCCTTGTAAAGGCAATTTACAATTTGGTTTACCCTTCATCTCCTCAAAGACAATTTTAAACCGAAGTAATTTTAATGTTTCGAAGACATTTAACAGAACAGAGTTTTATTTAAAAAAAAAAGAATAAAAAAAAAATAGCAGCATTTTGGGCAGCTAATGCAATCTCATCAGGACAAGGGCAAGGTAATGTTACCAATTCCCACAGTTTAGTCTCAACTGCAGTAAGTACAACAGGATTCTACATAAAATGTTGCACTTTAGAGCCTTGTCCCATGGGAGGCATTGTGCTTTGAGCTGCCCATTTCTAAAGTGACCCTGAAAAAACCTAGTATCAGGATTCACTTTCCCAACTTAATACCATGCATAGCAAAAGCACTGTGTGAAAATCGACATAAGTTTTCCTCATTTGAAGCATCTGAATGTTTTCCCAAGCACTATTACTTCATAGGCAATTACAAAACAAAGCCATTTCTTCACTACAGAACAGTTGACACCAAATAAAAAAGCTGAAGATTTGGTTTTACAGATTGTTTGACAAAATTTCTTAGATAACGGAACCATACAGACAAGCTTGCCTTTTTTTTTTTTCCCCATTTTTTTTTGCTTTTTTAAGAAACTATCCAACAACATGGAAATTCAGTTTTCTAACTGTATCTGGAAACATGCTGCACCCACAAAGGTCTAGTGTGCATGTACACACCTTTAAACAAAGTTAATGATATCGCTTACTGAATTCAGCAAAATGATCATGTTCTGAATGAAAGGTGAAAATGCACCTATACTGGGACCTGTTCACACATAAACACAGCAAGTGTACACCCGTACGTGCAGATACATATCGCCAACCTCCAAATTCAAATTTCAACCTAAGTAGATCAGAAACTACTAATTTTGCTTGGGAGTTTTGGTTCTCTTTGCTATGCCTCATACCTTTCAAAGGCCTTGTGAAAGAGATGCTGCAGTGCAGCCTACCTCAGGAATTTAAAACAAAACAAAAAATTCCCCCCCCAACAAAACAAGCCCCTTCTATATATTATATTAGATGAAAAAGCTACACATCAACAGAAGTACAGAAAAAAACCACTGTGTTTCTTCAGTTATATCCCCATGCTTTTTTTTTTCCTGTATATAGTAGTCTGTTTTGAGATCAAATCAAAACTGGAGTGAACAATATGGTACATTAAAGACAAAAAACTCTGCAGTGAATAGGACCTTTGGTAGGATTTAGCTCTGTGCATTAAGGAGGGAGAGAAATGAAGAGGCCACACAATACGTAAGTACCAAAGAAAACGTACTCATGCAAATTTGAGGGTGTTAACTGATCCCTGCAAATTGCATAGACCTTCCGTAGGTAGAACATCCCTTTAAGAAGCCCTAAGCACTCATCCTTACAACATAGTACTTATTTCTCATTGTTGCTTGTGCAAGAAAAGCAAGTGCCAAATCTCATACGCACTATTTTTTTTTTTCTGCTACAGCCACACATGAAGAGAAGTTGCACAGCAAACTGGAATTATGTTTCCATACAGTATGGAATTATGTTCCATACGGGGCTGGGCATGCTAAGGATATGGTCCACTGACATAGCAGGGGTTTTCTTAATATGAGGAAAATTAGATCCAAATACCTTAACTATGATAAATTTCTTGACAAATGCTATGTGAAACATCAATTCAGATTACATATATTTTGCCTACAGAGAAAAAAAATACAATTTTACTCTTAAAATATTTAACATTCAGAAATTAATATATGTCCAAAGAATATCTTGGATTGCTACAAGTGTTAAACTGCTGTATATTGAACTAATCTGTAACTTCAAGCCCAGTAGTATAACTAACATGCTAGAGTAATTGTTGGTGCTTTTCACAGTAAAAACCAGTTATTAGCATACCAAATTTACATGGTCCTACAGGCCTGAAGAGAGGGTGGAATGAGGAAGGGAAGGGATGGGAAAGGAAGGGATGAAGAGTCTACTTCTATTCAGGAAAAATATTCAGAATAATTTTCTAAGTGATGACAATCATGAAACATTGATATTTGTTGAATCGTGTTTCCTGATATAAATTCTAGTAAGAAAATATACACCTATAGGAAAGCAAAGAGAACCCACCAAAAAAAAGGAGCACAAAATCAAAATAAAATCAAAAGCCTTACAGCCTCAGAACCGAAGTAACAATTTGAAAATGAAATGATAATGTAAAGATCATTGGAGACCAGCAAATTTCCTCTTATTATTTCCAAAAGCTTATAAAGCCCTGCATATTCTGAAATAAAACACAAGTATCTCTAAACCAGAGCTATTATGGGAGAACTCCATGGGTCTTGCTCTTCTGATTGTGTGCGCAACTCTCTTTAATAGTAATGAGTATCGCCTTTTGTACTCTCGGGGCTAGAATAAATTCATATTAGTCAAATATTTTCCAAGATTTCTCTGAAGTTCGTTACTTTACCAATCTGCAATGTTTTGTCAGTGGTCAGGACAATAAATAACCATTGCAAACCACAGACAGTGAATTATCCCAGAATTACTAATAAATCTGGTTTAGTAGGATTCATGTATTTGTTTTGACTGAACCATAATTCTGTAAGTCTCTGATGTTTTGAAATTATGGAACTGTTCACTTTGATACTTCCTCAGCCTACAAACTTCTGAAAGCAAGTATCGTAGCCTAATCATTTTCAAAAAAAAAAGACATTTTCCAGCCTTAATTAGCTCTATATTGTATCCAAACATTCTCAGTAGAGGTGGAAGCTCTTTTCCCCCACAATACTAATACAAAAAAGCCCCTAGGCAACAATTAGAGAAATTTCCTTCATATGAAATGAAAATACCTTTACAGGCTGACAAAAATTCTGCCACAGGTCAAGAAGTCATTTATTTACTGTGAGAGGTGGATTCATTCTGAGATCCAAACTATCTACACTCTACACTGCAGTAGCTAAATATCCCCATTTTTTCTGCAGTCACTATCAAGGAAGGATACACTATTTTTTTTGTCTTTCAAAGACAAAGACAATTGTGACAAAAGTTCAAATGCTTCAAGAAGCAAATGTAGCATGGTACCGTATTCTAAAGATATCTCTGAAACAGTATTGTTGGACTCAGTGATATTTCGTAATGTTCATATATTGAATTTTTTTTATTGAATAAAGCAGCTTTGAAGCTTTCCAGGCACTGCCCAACAAAATATGTAGTCAAAAAAATTTTATGAACTTTTAAACTTCGAGCTAGTAGCTCAATATTCTATTTTTCTAAAGAAAATTGTAAAATATTTAATAGTTTTAATTCTCAAGCCAGCTCTTGCTGACTTCCTGTACATTAAAAAAAAAACAACACACCAAAAAAAACCTCTCAAAAAAAAAGCAAGCCCCGTAAAACAAACAAACAAACAAACAAACAAGAAAATCAGTAACAAAAAATAATCAGGAAAAATATTCTCAGGCAAAAGAAATAACAAAAAAAAGAAGACAAGGAAACAAGAAAGAAAAAGAAGCCTGTAGATATGCTTGAAAGAAGACTACAGCCTAAAGAAAATTCAGTATTGCATAGCATGGTCTAAGAACTCAGCTTTCAGCAAACAGAAGAGGGAAAAAAGAAGAAGTCTGGTATTGACAGTTTCCATAAATGATAGTTAGTCACCCAGTACTATGTACATTATTATACACTGTATGCCACTGAAAGTCCTGTTTTCTTCAGTCTTAAATATATTCTTAAACCAGGATTTTTAATCATCTAAACAAAACACTTCCTGGCACTTTGCTATTACAGTTACTCTGAACAACATACTGTAACTGAAGTCCTTTTAAAGTGTCCCTTAGAAATGAAAGTGCCATTCATTCTGCTACATATCATTCACTTAAAACCAAAAAAATCCACAATGCTGTATGTCTGGATCCACTGAGTGCAGAAACACCATTCCAAATCAGGTTGTGACCATGAAATTCCAATAACTGAATGACACAGACCTCTTATACCTTGTGCCTGGATAATCCAATGTTCTAGCTGGTAAAGCTTCAGAAGTGGTCGTAAACAAGCACCATGCTTAAAGGCTTCTATGTCCCTGCAGGGAGATCAGGTTTGGATTTTTCTCGTGTTTTAATTTTCTTAATTACAAAAAAACCAAAAAGCACTTCAGATTATAAACATACATTCACAGCTTACTACTGTGATCTCTCCCACTGCAGTTGAGAAGGAAATCTCTAGTCATGTCTGAAGACAGATAGTTTTGATACAAATTCTTGAGTAAAGCTGAAGGAGCCTTTTCTCTCCAGAGGCCTCAGTGTTGTCAAATCATTTCTTTAGAAAAAAACAAACAACCCGCAGTACTAAGATGTTCATCGCCTCTGCTGTGCATATACTGGGTAGGCTAGCGTGACATTGAGAGAGTCATTGTGCTGCACAAGTGATGTGTGTTGATAATGTAGTACCAGTTCTTTGAGCGAGTTGTACAAGTTATATGGCTCTGCAAATCCATACCCAGTGGGTGTTTTGTTTATCACACAGTGCTTTACTTCTCCATCCACCCTAAAAAGGAAGAAAAACAACCAGTTTTTAATTTGTGAGTACAGTAACACTGAGAGAGAAAATAAGGTATTGGTAATAAATCCTAAGATGCTAGTCAGTATATAGAATTCCTCTCTTCTGTGGTGAGATAATGGTAAAAACCTGGGTTTAGTCCAAATTCGCAACTGTCATGCAGCCTTAGGGAGGCGGGAGAAAGGTAGGACTTAGCAGCTGCACTGAAAGGAGTACACCTGTACTTTTGTTTCCCTTCTGAGTGAGGCTTATCTGTGGGAGTGGTACAGCTTGGAGCTGTGTAGGAAATGGAGCAGCAAAGAGAATGGCCTCAGGACTTGCTGACGTGCTTCTAAGCCCAAAGGTCCAACAGGAATTATGCATATGCAAGTGTCCGTCTGCCCCAAGTTCGAGGTAGGCCCCTCAAATGTTGGTTACATCATCCACAAATTAGGATACATACACAACAGAGCAGGCATAGCAGCCTTGTTTGCTGCTCTCTCGAACAAGGAATGTTCCATCTCGCTTTCCTCGCAGCAGATTTTCAGCTTGGCTTCTATTGATATTTCCCACATTCCAAGTTCTCTCATCATGATGGGGCAAGTCCTCATCATCTTCTACCATAGAGTATTGGCTGCCAAAATTGGAAAAAAATGTGTTTGTGAAACACATAGCAGAGCAAAATCCATTAATTAAGTAGTCTCCATTTCATATTACTTACAAAATAGAAAAAAAAATCAGTGGCTAGTCCAGTGCCTCCCTGGCACTAGAAATGTAAACCAAGTAATATTGCACTGTTCAAACCACTGAATAAAACTAAAACATAAGCTCTGTTTCTTATTTCTTTGAAGAACACTCATGTAAATCTGAAGAATATAAAAGGATGCTGTGTTTTTTTTCAGAACCTGCTGCGAGCACTCCAGTGCTACCATTGCTCGCTATTTTGGTAAATAGCAAGCCCAACAAAATCAATACCCTCTGAGTCAGCTTGATTTCCAAAGATCGGAACACTTGGTCAGCAATGAAAAATCATGTAATATATCAACTACAGCTGCTGCTTGAAGAAGCTTTGAGCAGTTGTACAGGTAGACAGAATAATTATTTATAGGGTAGGTGATTTTGTGGAAAGGGTGCAGTAGTAGAGTGCTTTCTCTCTTTCTCCTTATCAAGCAGATTATGAGAAGAGCATATAATACAGGGTCTTTTCTACCAAATCAGCTACTGAGTATACAGCTGTTTCAGAGTTACAGAGAGCCCTCTGTAGCCCACCATGAAAGAAGATGCATCTGATTTGGCTTTGTGGACATCACTTCGGTATTGTGCAGCTCCAGAGCTCCCCATTTCCCTAGCAGCCTGTACTGGTGGGTCCCGCCTCTCCTGATCAGCTTGCACTCAGTCTGTGTTTGGATAATGCATTTATTCTCTCTGTAATAGGTTTTTAATTAGCTTTTCTTGTTTTATGAAAAGATGACCTCTCACTCATCCATGATTCTGTCGCTCTGAAGATACTCGGCATAGTCTACAGAAATCAACAATCTCACACAGCATTCAATTTTCATGAAGAAAAAGGGTTCTTCTGTTTCAGGTAACACTCTCTTCAGGTCCCTTATACTCTTCTGACCTGCATGATAGTCAAATACATTCAGTAGTGGCTCTATTTTCAATCTAGAGAGAGTAATTCCTGTTTTTTATCTTGTTCATTATATTGCTGTTCGGCTTTTTTTCTGCATTACAACTTCAGAAAAAGAGTAATCAAAAGTTCAATTTTTCAGCAGTTACCAGAATCGCTGGCAGGGAGATTCACAGAGTGAGAGAAAAGGAAGATGTTCTTTAAGCAGTTTCATTTACTATTTTGATGCTACACTAAAGCCATGGTGTGGCATTATTCTTTCTCTACTGTTTAAGTAATAGGAGTACTTCTGGGAACAGGTGCCTACATATTTTACATCATATCATCTTTGAATTGTCCTAAGACTCAGAAAACAACATGGCTTTAAAACATGTACATCATTTTTATCTCCTGCTTCTACCACAGCAGATAAACACAATTCCTGGGATAACAGACTCAATAAACCAAGCCAAATTAAAATAGATGGGGACAAGGCTAGAATGTAAAACCACTAAAGAGTCATTGTCAGTCTGCTGCTTTTGTTGTATATCTAACCAAGCAGTATAAAAGGCATGCACAAGAAACTACATAGGCAGAAAATGTTTGTACAAATATTACTGAGACAACTTTCATTTTCTATCTGTTCATTCTTCACTGTTATTACACTTCAGATATTATTTTGTGTCCTGCTTTTGTTAAAATTTGGTCCATGTTCACAAAACCCAAGTGCTTTTTGCTTTTTTTCCAGGAATGAAATGAAATGCATTTATTAGCCTAGCCCCGTCATAAACTATAGTATACTAAATTGCTTGAAATGACAGAATACTATACATTTTCTGGAAAAATTAAATAGACCACAAAACCAGAGAAGGACCACTCCTCAGCATATACAAATTTATCATCTCCAACAGTAATGTGATATGTGGGTACAACTACAGGAGCTAAGAATGTGGTACCAACAGCAGAAATTCAAAAAAAGGCTGCTCATGCCTAAGAGACCTTCTGAACAATTTATTAATCCATATCACATCTCTCTAAGGTACTAACACCTCATGAACTTAATTTTGTTGGTAAGAATAAAGACACAGGTTACATTTCAGTGCTTTGCTATAGTAACTTGATTATACACTTCCTGAAAAAATGGAGTAGGGAGTGAGACAGCATCCTTTCCAATACTTACATCATGTAAGCTGTCATGTCTTAACAGTGTGCATTTTTAGTAGGCTTGAGATTTCCTCTGTGTGGTCCAAGAATTAAATATGCTTTATCTCACTTCTGCGTAAGATGATTTGAAAAACCAGAAATATTTAAGACTTTCAATACTTACTCTTCTGCATTTTCATTTCCAAGCCATTCATTTAGCTTCTTTTGCCGAACACCTTTTTGAGTCAGCCACCTGGACAATAATTGTAAATAAAATTAATTTTTAGTCACAAAAGTTGGATACCATTAAATAAAAAAAAAAAACAAACAACTTAAACTCCAATTTTTTAATTCATGATACTCACATCAAGTACTGATCTCTGGTCTTCCTCAGCTGTATGAGGTCTGGCTTAATGCTGTTCATACGCTTGTCTATCTCTCTATATTCAGCTGCTTGCTTCTTTAAATCTTCTTCTAATCTACGCCTGCTGTCCACAATTTCACTTATCCGAGACTTCAGTTTTTCATAGTTGTGCATAATTCTGGATGGAATAATGTGGTAGGTTAAACTCTGATCTCTTCCTCATAACTTTATAATCTGCTATTTAGATGTGTAGACATATAAGAGAACAGATTATTTCTCTAGATGTAGCTAAATATTTCACAAGTTCACATGTACCCTATTTGAGGCTTCTTTGCTTACAACTGAACAACTTTAAACTTGTCATCTTGCTTCAGTTTCAGGCACACCTATACTTGGCAGTTTGTTTTTTCAAAAATCACACAATTTGATATGCAAACCCAAATACTAACCTCTGTATTTCTTTTTCATTTCCTTCCCGTTTAAATTTTTCAATGTACTCCTTACTGTATCTTTCTTGAGTTTGGCACTGCTCTTCGAATATTTTTATTGTTTCATTAAATGCCTCAATAGCTGTTCTTTTCATTTGAATTTCCTGAAAATAAAGTAATTGTTGTTACAGTTGATATCAGACAAAAGCAGAAAATTTATTGGCTTCTATCACAGAAACACTTCAGTATGTTGTAAAACAAGACTTCAATATCTTTTTACCAAAAAGGCATTCCATAGTGAGGTTTATCAAGAAAGTAGAACTGCTAGAAAAAGAACCAGTTACAATCTTTGCTTTGTATAAATGAATTTTATTTGTGATGCTTGGAGCAGTATGGTAGTACCCTTTACCCTTTGCATCAACTAATGTCCTTAGAGGTACAGATGGCTTTCTGAAATAAAGGTGTAAGATACTGGCCTGAACAGGTCTCAGGAGATCATCTAGCCTGTCCTGCCACTACGTACCCAGCTGACAGTCAAGTCATTCAAATTAAAGTTGCCAGAAGTTCTCCACTTTTCTTCAATTATTTTTAGGTTTATTTCCTGCACATTTCAAGAAGCAGTCTTGATTCTGAATCTGTAAAGCCACACTAATTCACTGGCACTTCAAGATGTGGCTAATAATTGATTAAGCTGAAAGAAGGACAGAGGTGGCTTTTCATTCCTGCACTGTGTCTACACACATCATCTCTCTATCCTGCACACGTAAATCAGACCTTTCAAAAACTAATAATAAAATGCAATGCTTCCTTGCAAACATGCCTTGAAAACCATAACTCAGCTTGATGAGCAAAAGTGCTGGTAAATCCAGGTAGTTATGCACTTGCTTTGGATGGAGTTGTCAGACTTGAGCACAAGGTGGTTAAGTTTACAGGTGATGGCTGTTCAAACACAAGCAAGCAATTGTACTATTCTGAGCGAGCGTATCAGGGCACTGGCAGTGGTGGTAGAAAGGAGGAGTAGAAAGATGGCACCAAGAATTCACAATAATATTTTTTAAAATCTACAAAGTCTTCTCCTCTCCCTTTGGTTCAAATATAGCTCACCTGAGATGTTCTTGTGTAGTCTTCATAGAGTCTGTCATATTCTCTGCTTTTTTCTTGGAACTGGGTATTATATTCATGTAATTTCTTTCCCACTGCTTCAATGCTATCCTCCTTTACAACCTGATCCTGGAATAATGAGCAGAAAGAAAGATATTCCATAATGAAACAACTGTATTGCAGAGATTTTCCAGATAAAACTACTTAAAAATGCCTGGATAATTACATGGAAATGTGATTCCTCTTTCTTCAATGCAGAGATAATACTAAATGCATAACATGCAAATGAGAAATTAATGATAAAAAGAAAATTTTTATTGCAAGTGTTTAGCTTTATAGTGAAAATTATATATTTTATCATTGAATGGGATATTTACTAAGATGTTTATTTCTTAATAATGTATCCGCAGTATTTAAATTTTCAAATTTACATGCAAAGTGTGAAATATGTTTTAAACAAAAATATCAGGTTTTACACACTTTATTTTTTCACACATTCACAGAACTGAAATTCTTAATGATAAATGACTTCTCAGCCTGCAGTAATTTCTCTGTATTTAAGTGAAACACAAAGAAAATAGACTAAATTACCTGCTGGTACTTAGATACAGGATATAGTAATTTTACATCCAGTTTAGGATTATACTGGGCTAGAGATTCATTCCGGTAGTGGTTTATTAGCTCAACCACAGAGTTGAAAGTTAGTGGGTCAGAAAAACCATATTTTCCATCTCGATGAAAAATTTTGATTAATTTGTTATTTCCTCCTTTCCTGCAAATACAGTATGTTGAAAAGTTAGGCATACTTCAAGTACTACTTCCTAAAGCACGCTGTACATTAAATGTAGTTATTGCACTTTACTATCAAATATTATAGATCTAGTGTAACTAATCTCACCTTAGAGTAAGTGTGTAGTCCCCATGCATTTTGGTTGAAGCATCTCGTACCAAAAAGGTACCATCAGCAGTGTCTCGAAGCTTCTCATTTACTTCTTCCCTAAAATGAAAGCAAAAGCAACCAATCATTTCAGTTACTTCTCACACATTTATTCTCTCACTGTGCCCTAAATTCTTCTGCTTTAGAACAGGTGGGTTTTAGAAGCCTTCTAGATCTCCATATTAATAAATACAATTATCCAATAGCTCATTTAAAGTTGCTGGAGAAAACTGGGATATAAAAATGGCACACTATGTCCTCATACTGCTGGACAAAATTATTATTCATACAAAGATCTTTCTGCTTGTTCATACAAGCCTGTACAATTGGAGCAGCCAGTGCTGGCCTAATGTACCTATATATAGTACAGTTAAAAATGTTGCTAATATATGGCACTTGTTAGTCTGATTTGTTAACTTTTATGCCTACAGTTGAGGTTTTAGATGAAAGACAAGAGAATATTTATTTCTTGCTGCTGTCCTTTCATGCTAATGTTTCATATAGCTATCTCAAAGTAACAGAACAATCATTTTGCATACTACATTCTAACTGACTACCAGTAACTTTTTAGTCATGTTTGGAATAAAACCAGCTGTAATATGTTTGTGTTGGAAAATATCCTAAAAATGGCTCTTATCATTCTAAATTTTTTAGACTTGAAGGATAATACATATACATACACAGAATAGCACAGCAAGAACATCAAGCCAAATATAAGAAATACATGTCTTGAGCTGACTTACCTTGAGATATCTCCCCAGTACCATTCCGCGTCTTGTAATGACATGCTGTTATTCATGCTATTGTTAGTTACAGTATTAGGTTTTGGTGGCTTAGGAGGCAGGGCTGCAAATGAAAGGGGAGAAAAGTTGATTATAAGTCAGTGAGAACATGACCATATATTCCTTGAAATCACATGTTACTACATGAATTCTATGATTCTATGAATGAGGAAAAAAACAAAGAGAGTTCTCCATCACTAACAATTTTTAAAAGACATTAGAGGAATCAAGATACTGTACTGAAAACAAAATAATTCAAAATAAAGTTGTACTGTTTCAAAAAACTGTTACTCTTGTAATAATGTATTTTAAGAAAAATATAACGGTAAACTCACCTCCTCCCCCTGTGAAGAAAGAATTTGAGAAAAAAAATCTTAAGTTTACTTTTACCTTCTTTCACTACCTTCAGGTGAACACAAATAATAAAACATGACAAATTTTTTTTATCCTCCTATGTAATGATCTTAGACAAATTTTGCTGCTTCCTTACCTAGAAGTTGAGTAATAAAAAACACAAACCCACAGCAATACTGTATATTTGAAAAAGAATTGGCTTTTTGTGATGGTCCAGCATTCTGTGCAATGATATGCAAAAAAAAAAGAAAAAAAAGAAAAAAAAAAGAAAAAAAAGAAAAAAAGGAAAATATCTCTTGTGTTAATATTATGCTACAGAATAAATTGTGTTCAAATACCGGGACTGATTAAAAGCCACATCCCCCTTTTCTCAATGTCAAAGCTACATACGTATACCTGTGGGTGCCAGAGAAAATATTGCAGCACTGACTTTGTAACAAGGGGGACTACATTGGAATCAGCATTAAAGAACAACTCAGCTCATTCAGTTCTCCAGTAAGTACATCATTCCTGTCCTGTATAGTATGACCAGACTCAAAAGACAATGTTTTTAAAGTTGTAATGAATATCAGGATAGCATAATACTTTCATATAATATGAAAAAAATGATGCTATAACAGGTATTCAATTAATATTGCTAGATTTTAAAAAAGTTTGTCCTTAAACAGTCCAAAGCAATGATTTATAATCACTATTTCAGGAAATGAGAGTGTTACCACAGCATCTCCTTTTAGGTACAGTATGGAACAGAGATAGCAAAAATAATAATAAAAGAAATGCAATTTCTTAAATGATATAATAGCAGGACTAGAACTACCTGTGACATAATGTAAAAAGACTATAAACAGATCAATTCATTACAAATTCAATTAAATAAGCAGACAGGTATATGTTAAGATTCTAATTACTACAACCATGCACTAAACCACAATTTCCTTCTAATTTAGGAAAAAAAATAATATATGTGTCAATAACAAAGTAAAGAAATCCTACATATCCAGTAACAATTTTTCAGCAGCTATTGCAAAGACAAAAATTATTAAGTCTTCTATAATAAGACTGCAGTTTTACCTGGTGGATCCATTTCTATGTAAAACATCAAGTCTGTGCCACAACTTATATCTGTCTTAGGATATTCTATATCCAGTTCTTCCATATTCCAAACAGTATTGTACATTTGTATGAGTTTCACTGAGTAAGCTCAGACACAAGAAAAGAATCAAGCTTTCTTTGTAATGGTGTCTTGGAATTCATTTTAAAACCTTTAAGGGGCTGCAATGTAACCTATTACATCATAATCCTCAGCCAATCATGTCAAAATAATGTCACCAAACCACTCCTGCTTCCTCATTTTGCTCTACATTAATCTTAAAACGATTTCAGTTTTGGAAAGAATCTACATTTAGCAGAACTGGAATATAAACCTGGTATTACACACAAAAGGAGTGAGGAGACTCTCTGTGCCCGTCTTCCCAGCTCATTTTCCTGACTTAGCAGCATGGTACAGTCCAATCCTCGCAGGATGACAAAAGGCTGATATGCTGCAGCATGTAGCTCTTGCACACACGCACACACACAGAGGGTAGCTCCATTTAGAAGCAGGTCAGTCACATCTCAGTTGCATTCTCCAGCTTGGATGCCTGAAGTTTACCATTCAAAAAGCTTTAAAAGGATTCTGGACCTACTGTACATATTAAAGATGCAGAAGGGAAAAGAACAGGACTTTGTGTATGTCCATTACATACTCATTTTAGACAAACACAGAGAGACACATATATATATCTCCACATAATGAAATACAGATTATGTTTTTAACCTGTGTGGATTTCTATTATTTTAATGGGCACGTAGGTCTGTTATTATTACACAAAATGTGCTTATTATGGAGATGTCTTCCTCTCTTATCATTATGTAATAAAATGCAGTTCAAATCAATTTAGATTAACTGATTTTGAAATCTAAAACCCAAATATTTTAATCTTAACAAATTTGCTGAAAACATGGAAGAAAGTCAAAACTGAGCAAGATCTTTAAAAGTGTTTTTGCTATCTGTCAGGATACAAAAAGATTTAGTCTGCATTTTCAAATGGTTTCTCTACCTTATTCTCACTGAGATATTTATCAAGTTAATTGCTTTTAAAAGCAAGAGTCCCTTGTCAGTGTCTCCTTCATTACTTGACTTTATATCATCAGTATGCTCCTACCATTTAGAAATATTCCATCTTAACTCCCCCCATCAGTGACTGTAACTCTCTCCCATCTCTTGAAAGAAATGTGCACAGAACAGACTGTTAACTCCAAAGCAGAATGCTATGTAAAGTATTGTGAATGTTTTATACTTGCTATAATCTACAGGGGGAGAAAATCAGAGACCGAAAATAACCACAACAAAGACTAGCTGTAGAACTATCTGTGCCTGCATCGTAAGAAATTCTGGAGCAATTGAAATGTACTCTATCTTAGAAATGTTAATTAAAAAAATTAACACAATTTATATGCTTCCCATATATGCTTCACACGTTAATCCCTGCCTCCCTTCCCCCTCCCACCCTGCACCTCAACAGGGTGCCTGTGCCCCTCAGCAGGTTACCCCTTTCAGACAAGCTTCAACATGTAAGAGTGTATGCAGAGTACCAGAATATATAGAAAAAGATGCATGTTAGTTTGCTTCATATATTAAGAAGCTTAAATTCATTCTGAGGTAGACTCTCCCAGTTTAGGTAGATGTAATAAGCAGTAATAGTTAAATTTACTCATCAAATTAGTAGCAATAGAAATTTACTCATTAAATTGTAGTGCATGTTATATTCTTATATATATGTTATTATAATCACTGTTCTGTTACGGTTAGGAGACTGTAAGTTGTAGAATGGTTCATTAATCTATCAGCATTGTAAGCTGATAAGCATGTAGCTTGCATTTCTTAAGCTAGAAAGACAAACTATTGTGCCTTGTTAAGTAAATATTTTTGTATCTTACTTTTATAAAAAGCTTATTGTCTCATAGCAAGCATAAAGTAAACGGAGGACAAGAATCAAAGAGTCAGGAGAGAGAATGATACAGAGTATCCAAGATGGACATCTGGAGATGCCTGGGCACTGGGCTGCACACTAGGCCTCAAGCACCAGATACTGATTGAAACTAGGGATAGGAAAGCACCTGGCAACTAAAACGGACTTGCAAAGAAACCAACCAGAACCAGACCTGCAAACTCAGATCCAATAGAAGGACAACAAGTAACAATGGGAGGGGAACTGATAAGGGAATAAAAGTTACTGTTTTTGCCTACTGCCGCTGTGAGTGGAGTAGGCATCTCCCCGGCCACCCAGCATGCTGTTTTGCTTATTTGCATTTTCTATTAATCTTCAATAAATTTTTATTACTATATTTCAACTCAGTTTCATTTTACTTATAACAGTAGATATGTTCCAAAGATTCCTGTCATTTCCAAAATGAAATAGGATACTCAAAATCATCCCACACGCAAGTCTAAACACTGAACTTGGAGGTTTAGCCCACGTGCTACCCAGACAGTTGAGTAGCCAAGGTAATTATTTAAATTAAGCAACAAAGATTTCCTATGAAGAGTACATTGCTGCATTTAGGTCTCATGGGGGATCAGTAAGATTTTATTCCACTGAATAAAGACTTTAAGGAAAAACTATTTCACTAGGGTTTCACTGGTGGTCAAATTTAGGACTCAACAAACTTGTATAGTCAGGTTAGTGCTCAGCTCAGACTAGCTTAGCCTGCAGGCAAGAAAAGACAGGAGGCAGATAGGCTATTCCCCATTCCATATATAACATGGAGAAGTTACTGAAGTACTTTAATTCATGTGTCTTAAGACCATTAAAATTCTACCTGGTAATCAGTTACATTATGATACTTTCACAAGATGATGAAGAAAACACACACAGAAATTCAAAATCACTTACTTTGTAAATTATGCATTGCAAATGATCGCCCTTGTAATACTGTCAGAATATATAATCCAATATTGGTTTCCTCTTATAAAAATCTGTCTTAGAAAAAAACCACTCGAAACCTCCTTTTACTAGGTAGCTTTTCTGAAGCAATGAAGGAAAAAAAATTCTGAAAAAGAGATTGCTCTTCTTTCCAACCAATGATCCATAAAAATCCCTAAAAAACCTGCAATATGCAGTGAGAAAATCCAAGCCTTCTCTCTCTTCTTAACTGCTTAAAGCTCTGTGCTGTGCAGAAGGTATCCACTTATTCTGGCTCATCATTAAAAAGTGCACCTGACTTCAGCACTGTGGGGGGGAAAGAAAAACAAACACAAACCCAAAACCACCACCCTCAGTAGCTTGCATGTCTCTCTCAGATAAAGATCTCAGCTTCATGATTAACTTGGGCAGGTTCAAATATTTGCTGAGCCAGGGGTTTCAGGTGGGGGAGGGGACCTAGATTCAAAATAAAAGTTGTCATCAGCTAACAAGTGGCCAATGCAGGACTAACTTTCTCATTTTAGCTAAGTAAATGAGAAGACCATTGTAAGAGGCCTTAAAATAGTCTCTAGCACTGACTGCTGCACGCAGTACTGAAGATGAGAAAAGCACCATGAACAACAAAATACAAGAAATGGTTAACTGGGGAAAAAAAAAGAGGATAAAAATTATCCTTGAAAAGAGCTGCATCTCTGGGAGCAGCCCCGCGCAAGCGAAATAGCCTGCTTGCACATACAGCATCACC